ATTAATGACAGAATTTTCATTTTTGGGTGAACTAACCCTTTAACATTAATAAATGCATTAGGTATCTTGAATTACCAATCAACAATACAAAAAACAGTACAGCATTTATTAATCTAGGTTACTATTAACTTCTACATATAATAATACATTTTGTAGCATTCAGTTTGTATAAATTTACATTAATGTATTAAGAAAAATGAACGACTGAACGATAGTATAATATATAATAATATAGTACACCTTACCATTGTTTCCTCTGCATTTGCTCCCCTTCACTCTCTTCTCCCCCTCTCCTCTCTTTGTATACTAAGTTCCCCCAAAACTAATCTAAAATCTATTTGGTGTTTAATGTGAACAATAAGTTACTATTCATGTTTGGTATCATTGAAATGCCTCAGTGTGACTTGTAAAGTGATCTCATTCACAAAGAACTAAAATAAAAGGTAATGCCGATTTTAAGAGTTCAGAGATATTCTGTTATTGGTGTGCCCTTTCCCAGGGTCTTTCATGCAAATTGCCTCCTGTCCCCAATAAGGTGAAAACTCCCAAGGTGTAGGATCTTGATTAATGCAAATTCCAATCGTTAGGTAATGCCTCAGATTTTAAGTTTAGAACAACAGTATTGCTCGACCAGTCTACATAGTGTGAGCCTTTACCTCCGATTATTGTAAAATTACTCTAAGGTAGGCTACATGGGAAACCATGACATGACTATATAAAGCTACTATTAGAGAAAGCAATGTTGGTCAGCTTTTCTATAGTAGAGGTCATGATCTCCGACTAGAGATCGTGTTACTTCAGTTACAAATCTAAGGGGACTAAATAAAGTACTTTTAGAAAAGAGCAAGCATGGGCAGCCATCTAAATAGTGTTAGTCAATTACCCTTGTCTAATGACCAAGACGGATGAGTTTTTGACCGTCGTGGCCTAATGGTTAGAGAGTCGGACTTGTAACCCAAAGGTCGTGGGTTCGAGTCTCGGTACTGGCAGGGATTGTAGGTGGGGGGAGTGAATGACCAGCGCTCTCTTCCACCCTCAATACTTTGACTGAGGCAAGACCCTTGAGCAAGGCACCGAACCCCCAACTGCTCCCCGGGCACCACAGCACATGTCTGCCTACTGCTCCGAGTGTGTGCTCACTACTCACTGTTGTGTGTGCACTTGGATGGGATAAATGCAGAGCACAAATTCTGAGTATGGGACACCATACTTGGCTACACATCACTTTGACTTCACTCACTTCACATACGTGGCCAGAGCGAGACTCTGAATGACACTGTAAACTGAATGAATGAGTACAATCAGAAGCAAAGTGTTCAGCAGGATAATCAAATGGCTAGATTAATTATTACATAAATGACTAAATTTGATGTTGTGATAAAATGGAGTCAGATAAGTAGTTATCTGAAACTAAATTATTTTGTGCACATTAATTAATTGTGCACTGAAACGATAGAACATACAGGAAACCTTCAGCCACACTATTGGATATGGTCATTGGGCCAATTGCGTGAACCTTACAACATGAAATTTACCTGTTACTCCACCCATTTCACCTGTTCATCATTACCGTCTCATTATCTACATGCATATTTACCTGCTTTCTTCAGTAGCTCTTAGTAAGATCATTGCAACTTTGTGATTTCTTATTTTATTTCTTGTCTGATTTTGATGTTTCTGTTAAAGTCCTTAGCTCCAGAAACAAACCCCCAAAGTCCATTCCACACCATTCAGAAATTGGGAGATATAAATGAGCGATTAAATTATATAAATGGTAACATCACAATTGGAGATGAAAAATAATACCAAGATGTACCTAATAAAACCTCTTTAGCCATATGAATTATTCCTACTATACTTTGATTTCTACACTTTTAATGTAAAACAAAGGATGGAAATAGGAAGAAGTGAAGATTACATTAAATGAAAGAATTATTGTACTTGTTGTTTGTCCGTAAATTATTTCACCTGATATAAAACAATATAAGAATGAAAAAAAACAATGAAAAAAGATTAAGTGTATCTGTCACAATCAAAAACCCGTTGAATATATATTGAATACATGACATACAGTTCCAGATCAAAGAGTCTTTTAGATATGTAGCACTTTAACTCTCAGAGAACAATTGAAACACAATAAATACCTCTTAAATAGATTAACATTATATACAACAGCAGCTCATACTTTATCTTTTAGCTCATATCTTAACATGTTCATCATCATATCTTAACATGTTAGGCAGGAACGATTTGAGTCATATAATATGATCACTGTCTACTGATTGTTTATGATCAAAGGTAGACATTTTCTAATTACTTAACTTGTAATATTTAGTTGTCAAATCCAAACATGGATTTTCGATGCTAATTTCTGTCTCGCACTGAACACACTCTGACCTACCCAGCTCTTCACTGCCAGTCTCTCAAGTAAGCAAAAGAACAATAGAAGAACATTTTTGTTTATCTGGCCAGTGATCAAACCTCACACATGACTTTCTCTGAAAGAACAATTCAACCAGTGCGGCAACATTCTTCAAAGCCTTTAGAATTGAAAGTAAAATAGCAGGACATGTCTCATGCATATTATCATAGCAAAAAACCTAAAACTATGATCATTAATCTCTTTCTTCCTTGTACTGAAAGTAAATTAATACAAAAGGAAAAACAGGCAGATCGTCAGGTGCCCTGCTTAGCCATCAAAATTATTTTCCCCCACTACCTTCTAGATCATTTCAACTGCATGTTTGTGCCCCTATTATATATGCCTTATAATACATTTAGTAAACGCATATCTATATCGTTGTTACCTTCTCCTTACAGACATGAGTTATGCTGTTCACAGTACATTGAATGACTTGACTCTCTATCATGATTCAAATGTGACAAACATTTTAGTCAGATACAGTACTTCACAACTTTATTTATCATGCTTTGCCTGTTTGTGTTTTGTTTAGTTCTTGTGTACTTCATTAGAAAGTAATTTGGAACAGGTTGTTTGTCAAATTTTTCATTATTGCAATACATTTTTTTTTACGTTATATTTATAAGTTTATGATATTAATTTAATCTGAGTCCAGTTAAGTGTTGCCAGTATTTCAGTGTTTCTAAAATTTCGACTAGGGTGCCAACACTGACACTGATCACAACATAACATATTTCAGGTTTGTTATCTCTAAATTCTGCTGCCCAATTTTTATAAAAAGTTGGAGAATTGAAAAGCAACTGAAGAACAGGAATGACTTTTTAATGTTTTTGCACGATTAAGCAAGAATAAACAAGAATATGATGGTCTTTGGTAATGTAGCACAACCTCTGAAATAAAATACAATTAATTTAGTATAGAACAATTCATGTAAATGATTAAATAACTGATTATGGAACATAAAATAACATATATGACAAGGAGAATATTCCTTGAATATCCCTCAAATATTCATTAAAATGGCATTAGAAATTATGCATGTAAAAGATTACATTATATTTGAAGAAAAACATTAAAGTAGGGTCAGGACACTCATCAGAGGAACAAACAACAGCATCAGAGAACCACACAGACAAGAAGCCTCAGATGCCTTCACTTGCTCTGGGACCCACTTATCTGTGAACAGGAAATATGATGCAATGAAATGTAATGTATTGCCAGCAGAAATCAACAGAAACCTTCATTTACAAATGATTAAAATAAATGAAATATTCACCTGTGTTCCCTTCAGACAACATCAGAGGACCCATGGATATGGAAGCACTGTCATGGAAGTCCAGAGACCTGCGCTCTCTCCAGTGGTGTTCAGAGTTACAGTCCTAAAAGAGAAAAGATCAAATCCAGTTCTGTGAATCCCTGATAAATATCATTGGACAAGCATGAAACATAAAGGACAAACATGAAACATAAAGGAGTGCACAAATCCAGCAGACGTACAGGACAATATGCATGTAAAACACTACACGTTTCTTGTGGAAATATACTAAAAGAGGGTCAGGAAACTCATCAGAGGAACAAGCAACAGCATCAGAGAACCACACAGACAAGAAGCCTCAGATGCCTTCACTTGCTCTGGGACCCACTTATCTGTGAACAGGAAATATGATGCAATGAAATGTAATGTATTGCCAGCAGAAATCAACAGAAACCTTCATTTACAAATGATTAAAATAAATGAAATATTCACCTGTGTTCCCTTCAGACAACATCAGAGGACCCATGGATATGGAAGCACTGTCATGGAAGTCCAGAGACCTGCGCTCTCGCCAGTGGTGTTCAGAGTTACAGTCCTAAAAGAGAAAAGATCAAATCCAGTTGTGTGAATCCCTGATAAATATCATTGGACAAGCATGAAACATAAAGGACAAACATGAAACATAAAGGAGTGCACAAAAGTGTCCAGCAGACGACAAACCTTCCACCATGGACATTAAGGGTAACATTTTCCCTCCAATATTTAATGTTTGATCAACAGGGGTTTATCAGTGGTAAATTCTTAAATCTTTACAATTGAACCATTACATTTAACTATGGAGATGCATTCAATACATTAGTCCTATACACAGAAACATATTGTAATAACAGTTTTACTAATTATGAGAGGTTTTCCAAACTCACCATTGAGCAGCGATTGCTTGACAGAAGGCACAGGTGAACAGAGCAGTGCAGGTAAAGCTTAGTGGAGTTTGCAGTGAAGATAAACATCCTGACTAGTGCACATACAATTATAATTAATAATTTCCCACATAACCTACTTTGCATCATGTACACTGTCCAGATCATTTTTGAAAATCTGCTATAGAAATATGTTCCTAAACTGTAACATAAGCATATGCATTTCATAAAAGTAATATGACTGAAACACAGCATGAATGGTACTTTTAATGGTTTTTTTTCACATCATTTGTATAAACATGAATCTGATTGTCTTTGTTACTGTAGCACTTCTTCTTTAGTAAAATAAGATGATTGTAGTATATTACAATTCATATAAATCATTATATCATTATTTTTATGTTTGTAGGTAAAGAGACAATGTCCACATGAACTAAGGAAACATTGAGAAACCCAAAACCAGTGTGGCATCAGTGCCACATTCATTAAAATGCCACTAGAAAATTGTATTTTGTGTGTGTGTGTGTATGTGTGTGTTTGTTAAACTAAAAGAGGGTCAGGACACTCATCAGAGGAACAAGTAACAGCATCAGAGAACCACATAGAAAAGAAGCCTCAGATACCTTCACTTGATCTGGGACCCACTTATCTGTGAACAGGAAATAGAATGTGACACAGTGAATTGTAATGTATTCACAGCAGAAATCATCAGAAACCTTCATTTACAAATGACTAAAATAAACAAAATGTTCACCTGTGTTCCCTTCAGACAACATAAGAGGACCCATGGATATGGAAGCACTGTCATGGAAATCCACAGACCTGTGCTCTCTCTGCTGGTGTCCAGAGTTACAGTCCTAAAAAAGAAAAACAGAAAACATGAAACAGGTGTGCACAAAGTGTGAACAGATCACACAACAGATCCAGGTTTTCACAACAAAATCCACTCAATTGCTTCTCAAAACTTGCCCAAAACTAGCCTAATTGCATTCTGGGGGGTAAATATCGCATTAGTGGGGTCGCTTCAACCCATGCAGTTGAATAACTACCCGCGGCAACAGTGGAAAAAGTAGCCAAATTCCGTGGGAAAACTGTGGACGTGGCAACAGTTGCGCAGCTTACTAACACGGAGTACATAAAGTAAGGGATTATGCATTTATTTATCATATGATCTGCCGCAGAACCCAGCGAAATTATGCACAGGCACTGGGCAGTATGAAAAATAAAGACAAGGATGTTTTGCTTGTATATAGAGTTGTCACTGTAATACTTTAGAATTCTGACACATCACCGTACTTCCACTGACTACCTTTCGCAACTGTCTTGATAACTTTGGGTATGTAAAATCTTTGAAGTGTCTCCCGTCAGCGCGGAATTATGACTAATGTCGATCGAGAGTGACGTAAAAGTCGCATTAAATACGACATGAAGTGGCACAAATCAGAATTGAAAAGATCAGTTTCCATGCGGTTTGTGCTGTTCACACTGTCATGACAAAAACAGATCTGAGTCACATGTGAGCAAAAAAAAGTCAGATGTGGGCCACATTTGCCTGCAGTGTGAACATAGCCTTAGTTATTAAACCTCAACACCATAGACACTAAGGGTGATGTTTTCCTGCCGATATTTATCATATGATTAAAGCAGGTTATCAATGGCAGATTCGGAAATCATTACAACTTTTAAACTCACTGTTGAGCAGCGATTGCTTGACAGAAGGCACAGGTGAACAGAGCAGTGCAGGTAAAGCTTAGTGGAGTTTGCAGTGAAGATAAACATCCTGAAGGAGAAACGGCCGGATGTCGAGATGCCGTTCTGCAGCAGCTCCACTGTGTCGTCATTTGGATTGGGACACCTGAGAATATTAACAATGACAATCAACAAATCAAATTGTTTAACTTGAAACACATTTAACTAAAAAGCGATTTCCTGTAAATCATCACACATTTGCATTCTATGTACAATAAATAAATGGAATTCTTTGCATTAGTACAGCAATACTGAAAGATAATATGTGAGGTCATCCTAACGGGATATGGAATATTATTTATTCAGTCTATGCGCAGATTAGATAAAGTTATTTTTTTTTAAATGTTAGTGAGTTAAGAGCTTTAAAGAATAGATAAAACAACATTGCTTTACTCTGTAATGATGAGATCCCAGCGGAGACTGTAATCAGGATCATTCACAGGTGTAGCCCAACACGTCTCCATCACCAGGGCAAACTGACGGCTGTCAACCCCCTCGACACGAACTTCCACATTCATCTTCTGGTCGAGCTCTGCATCCACTTTACCAGTGAAGGGCTGAACTCATTATCCTCATATGGAATCATCCGAACCTGATATCTGCCTTCACCAGCGGGAAGAGTCCTGTGCACAACACTGTTGAAATAATGGATAGACCTGTGTTAAATCTACTCTGATTAATGGCTAAAATGCTACTCCTTTAATAAAACAGCACAGCTGGAATCAGAATTTATATTTGACTCGCACCTCTCCAGTGGGTTGATTTCCACATTCATGGAAAGTGTTTGTGTTTGAGGATAAACACAGCTGAAAGAAAGCTTAAGGATTTTCTCTCTGCTGATGAGACCTTCTGACCTCGGTGTCCCCAAAATAAAGTTACTATAGATGAAGTGGGTGCCGTTGGCCTGTGGACCACATGTATAACATTTTGACATTTAGACTGAATTTAAAACAATAAAAACTTTTATTATTTTATTATTATTATTATTATTAAATATAAAACCCCAAAAAGTTCAAAAAGTATCAGTCAATTCAACTCTATTGGTTCTATCAGACACTACAAATGTTTGGGATGGTGTATTTGAATAGATTATACATAATATATCCTACCAGAAGATTTGTGCCACAAATGTGTTCATCATTATCAAAATGGAATTCCACTCTGCCATTCCGGACCGTTCCTTTGCAGCTGGGATCATTGAGGTGTAAGACATCAGCTGGAAAACCAGTCTCAAAGAGCTGACAGCGAGACACAGACATGGAGCCAGAGCTGCTTTCACAGGTTTCTGAGAAATCTGAGAGAATAAAAACAATCAAATGATTGTCGGAATTATTAAACAAGAAAATGTAAAAATGACCCAAAAAAATCATGTTTTATATTTTGTTGTGGAATATTACCAACCAAAAGAGTCAGCTTGTGGTCTGGGTAGGTCATCGTTACACAAACAGCCATAAACACCACTTTTCTTCCCACACCACTCATCCTCAGAGCAGCTGAGCTCAGAGCAGCGATCTCTCACATCTAAGAAAAGCAGAGATAGATGAAATATAACACAAAGACATTGAGTCATAATTACAGAGCTCAACATTCTGAGCTCCCTGAATGATTATTGCTCAACATTCCTCAAGTTAATAATATATATACATATTATTTTATTTTTTTTACTAGTGATTTAAAGTGAATTTCATAGTTTCAATAATTTTCCCACTGAGATACACAAATAATAGCCTATTAGTCAGGTTTTTTTTTTTTAACAGACTTTTAACATTTGATCATTAGAATTAAATTGCTGTGGGATTTTATTACTTTACCTTCAAATTATCTATATAAACACCCTCTATATGTCTAAGTCTATGTTAGCTGTGAAATTGCACTTAAGAACAAGTGATGTCGGATTAGTGACAGGTTAGCTGAAAATCAGTTCATGAATCACAGCTCTTTCATGCACTGATTCATTTGGAAGCAGTTTGTCATAGTAGTTGATAGTGCAGCTGTATTTTTTATTTTTTTTTGCAACACTGGTGACAAGACCACAAAATAATCTGTGCTGAAATGTTATTATGGCTTACCACACCGCAGACCCGAGCGCCATTCTGGGATCTGTATCTCTAAGATGGCACAAGCTGTCTCATAGGCCTCAACAGCTGAGCATAACATGCCATTAGCACGTGTGTACAGACACAGATCATACACACAAGAGTAGTAGTAAGGTGCAGGGTCAACATGAAGATGGCAGTTCTGGAAGGGGCCAGTGGTGTTGGTGATAATGCTACAGAGATCAGAGTATCTCTGCCTGGATGGACACTCATCAGCATTACCAGTCTGGTCTCTGGCACCACAACTGAAGAATACATGACAAAACGAACTTTAGTTAAATGCTTACACTATTTCATCACTTGGACAAAGAAAGAGTTCACAGGTGAACAACAAACATAATTTGCTACTTTTGCATATTTTAACCAAAAGCAGTGATTCTCAACTTGTTTTTACAATGGACATTGTGTGGTAATTCTATACAATACTAAAAGTAAACAAAAGAAAAGACATAAACCTTTGAACCTTTTTCCCTGTCCAGTGCTCTATCAAAACCTCAGAAAAAAAATGTTTTTCATCATGACCCACCAGGTAAAAACAACTGTCCTAAAGTCTCATGGTTCTTACCCTGGAATGCTGGTGTCTGATTGCCAGCTGTGGCCAAAGGAATTATCATCAGGAGCGGGGTCTCCACTGGGCAGCACTTTGTCATCTGCAGGATTACCGTTGAAATTTCCACACATTCCGCATAGAGATCCATAGAATCTTTCACTCACTCTGACTAGAAGGCTGCTAAGTCCATCAAAATGGACAATGAATTCATTGAAAGCATTTAGAATTACGAATCCCTGCTCCTCACGTATCTCTACAAGATCATTGTTTTGATATGCTGGTGTGTCGATGGCATTCCCATCAACCTGGAGGGAAATCAGAAAATTTCAACATCTCAAAAGAGAGAAAGTGAAAGAAAATATATTTACATTGACATCATTTGAAGTCCAACTTACTTTAACTCTCCTGTTCTGCCCAATTGTGATGTGCGTCTGTTGTCCATGCTGAGACAACCAAACATCCACTGCAGACACAAATGATACCACCATGTTCCCACGGTGCCTGTTGGTGGCCACCACACGGAACTCCAGATCATTGTCAGTTACATTACCACAGGTCTGAGCAATCTCATATGAACAAGTTCCCTAATAGAAAATAACACAATGCACGTAGTCTTCATCATTTCTTTCATTTGCCACACAGCTGCAACTTCACACCCAGAAATTTCTTGTAAGACATTAGATAGATTCATAAATCAAAGAATTTCCAGTGCTATGAAAAATATTATGCAGTGAATTTGTATAGTATAATTTATTAGTATATTTGTATAGTATATAAGTATATTTGCAGTCAAATTTGTTTAGATAGTTTAAAACCAATAACCCTTATAACCCTCCTTTGAATAAACTTGACTGCTAAGTCAGTTGTCCCCTACTACTGGGTCACAAAACAACAGTTAAGGTAATTGTGTACAAAAATAGCAGAGCTTACTGATTCATACCTGAAAGTGGGCCACAGCTCCATCAAAGGTGATGTAGTGGGGGTCACCCCAGACTGTGCAGGTGGACATTGGACTGTAGCAGTCACGATGTCCATTTCTGACCGCACAATCCATGGTCGGTGGGCAAACAGATGCAGAGCAGCGTAGATCATTTGGAGCAAAACACTGACAGCGTTGGGAACATGTTGAATCCCAGAACTGTTCACCAATCTATAAAACAATAATGATAATGATGAGCTTTACATTTTCATAACATAATGTCAATGAGTATTTTCACCTACAAAAAAAACATCAAGGTACAGCATCATCATAAGGCTGTGTGCCTCGTTATTCTTTGCACCATGTGATAATACTTAAACGAAAATGTAATGCTTCAATCCTTACCTTATAGTAGAATCCATCATACAAGCAGCCACATTGCTCCACTGGTACACAGAGTCCTCCACTCCTCACAAATCCCTCATCACAGAAACAACCTTCTGAGCATGTGTGTTCACAGCTAGCATCAATGCTGCTGGCACATGTATGGCCACAGTCTGTGCCACACACCTCATAATGGCTGTTTGGGATGTTTGAGGAGCAGTCCATGACTGGAAATGCAACAACAAAATGTATTTGTAGAATGCAATTAATAGTATGTACAATATGAAATATTTGAAATAAAAGGGGAAAACACCTTGAATAAAGAAAACAAATTCATCTGTGGCTGGTATTTTTACGTTTTACATACTTACCACAGGATGCATTTTCTCTCCAGGGATAGACAACAGTGTTGGCAGATTGACAAGCACTCACATAGGCTTGGACAGAGTGACACAAGACATCATTACTGTTCTCAGAAATGCACACATCAAACACACAGTTATTAAAGTAGGCCTGTGGATCAACAGAACCATGGCAGAAGCTAAAGGGACCCTGACTGTCCCTGATGATTTCACACAAGGCTTGTGAGATGAGAGTTGTGCTCTCATCTTGGCAATAGCCAGGAATATCACCGCCTCCACAGTCATGATTGTATGACATGTTATCCTCAACCATCCATTCTGCCCCAAACTGGTCTGCTGAAGGTGCCAGATCACCTGAAGGAGTGAGGAAGTCATCCTCGGGAAGGCCATTGAAGTTGCCACAAATGCCACACACAACTCCATTGTAGTCTGCTGGCACAACAATGTTTAACTCCCAGGAACCACCATAACTGACACCGAAACCATAGTCAGTTGAGACATATATAAACTGTCCCGTGGAGTAGACAGAGACCCGACCAGAGTCAAGGTAGACGGGAAGGTTTCTGATCTCTTCATCAACCTGGTTGAAGGAAAAGTGGAGATGGTTTATGCAATGCAATCCAATGAATAATTAGAACAATAATGTTTTTTCATATCACATATACTCCATGGCAAATTACAGTGAGTTTGAACAGCTTACCTTAACAGCAGAATAACCATTCATGTCCTGTGACATGTGCACAAGGTGCCCAGAGACGTTGACAAAAACTTCGACAGTTATTGACACTGGCCATTCATGCCATCCATCATTTCTTGCATCCACCTGGAAGTGTGGTAGACCACGAGTATCATCACATACTTTGGCCAGCACATATCGGCATCTGCCTTGAAAGTCAAAATAAGTTCCATCAAAAGACTTATAATGGGGGTCTCCTGAAGCATAACAGCTACCATGTGGATGAGGATGGCAGCCATACTCCCCCTCCACCACACGGCAGATCTCCTGTTCACTACAAGATGATGGTGTGCAACGGACATTTCCAGTGATTCCATCACAGACACAAAGGAACTGACACTCTTCACCATGCCAGAACTGCTCTCCAGGCTGCCGATAACGCCCATCATAGCGGCAGCCGCAGCCAGTGGGGGAAACACAGCGATCTCCATCTAGCACCAGTCCATCATTGCACTGGCATCCCCCCTGGCATGGCAGCGTGCACTGGAAGGGAAATGAGAGGCTAGGGCAGGACGCAGGACAGGATGTGCCACACAATTCGAAATGGGTATTTGCTGGACAGTTCGGATCTGGGAGGTTTAAGATAAAACATATAAACGACAATGAATGATCGGCACTTTGAAGGAGATATATAGTTTAAATTCTGAAAATCTTATCATATTACAAGATACTAACCACAGTGGGTGATACTCATCCACTCTCCTACTGCGATGCCATTCTGTTGGCAGTGCAGTGTATAGCCTCGCAGGGCCTCACATAGAGCCTCACTGGCACCATCCGTCTGCTCCAGCATCTGAATGCAATCTTCAATCCGTTGCCAAGGGTCTAGTGTTCTGCTACACTCAGCAAATGGTCCATCATTCATGGCCATGATGCTGCAGCGCTCTCTGAACTCGCTCCTGTTCTGATAATGATCTGGTTCCCACATGTCAGTTGGGTCCTCACAGTGAGCTGACAGGGATCCATCACGCCAGCTGTCTGCAAAAAGCTGGGAGTCATCCAGCAGGACACCATCCGGGCTGTAGAATTCATCTTCAACGTTTCCATTCAAGTTCCCACACAGACCTCCAAGTGTACCATTGTAAGTGGTTGGCGCAGTGATTCGGACAATGTGCGGCCAATCAGCTCTAACAGTCACTCCAAAGTTTGTCTCCAAAACAAAACCTCTTGCACTGCTGTGATAGATATGGATTTGACTGGAACCAACACTGATAGGTAGACCAACCATCTGTCCATCCACCTGAGGAGAAAAACAAGTCTGACTTTGATCTAGCATTTGAGTTTGAGATAATGGTTAAACGGCCCTTAATACAAGGCTGAGAAAAAAAAAAACATTTTGGCTAACCTGTACATTGCTACCTTCTCCCAATTCAATGGAAACATGAGTTCCTCCTGCCTCAAACTTCAGGAACCTGGAAAATTCTTGAAGGCCTCTGGGTACTTTCTCCACTGTCAATACAAAGTATGACAGTTGGGATGGCCCCATAACTCTTGCAAGGGTCAGTCCACAAGCTCCTGGGTATCTGAAAGTTTGTCCATCAAAGGTGTGGTATGAACCCAGGCTTTCAACTGAACAGGTAGCATAACTGATGGGTCTGCAACCCCTTACACCATTATGGAGTCCACACACTTCAGCTGGACCACACTGGTGCTGAGCGCACACCATTGACCTGCTATTGCAAACACATTGCCTTCCACAGTCCTCGCCCAACACTACCGACTGTCCCTCAGAGTAATAGAAGCCCTCAAAGACGCAGCCACAGTTTGCTTCAGGCACACATTGCCCAGTGCTGAGGATGTACCCATCATCACAAATACAGCTCTCCTGATTGGGCAGGGGACAGTTTATTGGGGCAGAGGGGTTGCTGCATGTTGCAGGGCAGCTTGTTCCTTGGGACTCAAAATGACTGTGCTCAGGACAGTGAATCTCTGGAAATGGAGGGCAGAAGTAAGAATATGCATCAAACTCTGTGATCTTTCACACTGCACAGTTATTTCAGTTACACAAAGTTGAATGAAAAACTTAGTTCTACTGAAGACATAACAAGGCACTTACCACAAAAGCCTGGTTGTCTCCACTGCCCTAGTTGTACACCCTGCTGTTGGCATTGGGCAGAATACACATTGAGAGCCTGGCACAGAATTGGCTGGTACCCTCCTCCTAAGCAAAGATCATAGACACAGTTCTCTATGTAGGTCTGTGGCGAAAACACAGAGTGGCAAGATGCAAAAGGCCCCGAAACATCTCCTAGTATCCCACAGTGGTTTGTGTCACTGTAAAGGCTCATTTCATTGGCGGTACAAACCGCACAACCTAGACCTGTGCACCTGACATCATGGCATTCAGGATCTGTGTCACCCTCTACTTTCCAAGAGTTGGCAAAGTCAACATCCGAGCTCAAGATCTCCCCAGAGATTGAACGGAAGTCATCTTCAGGATGTAAGTTATAGTTACCACACAGACCACATGTGGCATTCTGGTAGTCATAAGGTACAGAGATGGTGACGTAGCTATATGCATCATATGTAACTAGGAGACCAAAATCTGTGCTGATGGCCAAGGAAAAACCTGACTGATAGACTTGGATGGAGCCATTGCGGAGGGTGAATGGTGTTGCTATAAAGGTCCCATTAACCTTGACAATGTTGACAAAAAAAAATTAGGAAAATGGAAGGATGGCTGAACTCAATATTACAGCAAAACAGTGATACTTACCTTTGCTTCATAATAGTGATCTTTAACCAGTTCAATTTCTTCATTATAGACAAATACTCTGATCATTCGAGTCCATGACACATGCGTGCTACCCCGATGCTCATTTTTTCCCTCAATGCGATAGTACGGCAAACCATTTCCACAAGCCTATACAATGACAAAAAATCAGTATCAGTAAAGAATTCCCAGTCTTGTCGAATCTATACAATAAATAGAAAGTAATAGCAACATTACTAACCTCAGACAGAACATATGTGCAGGTTCCTTGGAAGTGAAAAATCTGATTGTCAAAGGTGTAGTAGTGAGGATCACCAGAGATGGTGCATGTTTGCCGCTGAATGTTCTGACAAGAGTATTGGAAAGCAGCTGGACGACAAGCTTGAGAATAAGTGCAGGCCTCAAAGCTGCACTGGAGGCCTCTACTGGTACAGGTGCATCTTTCCTGGCAGGCGACATCACTCCAGAAATAGTCTCCTAGCTGCACTGGCAAACCTGTAAAAAAGAGGGTTTATGTATATAAACACCGAAAATCATTTGTGTAATTACTGGAAGACCTCACCTGTAGTTTACTAGCAAGGTACAATCGAATTTGAATAGGTCATTCATAGTCTGGCTGCAAATAGAAAATATGGCATGCAGTTAGTTAGGGAAGCAACATTACCATTAAATTGACAGCCCCGTGATCCATGATCGGTTCTGAAGGCCCATCTGCCTGGCACATTGACATTACTGCTGTGTGGTAGGCTGGTGATGTCATTCTGGAGTGATCCAGTAATTGAGAAATGGTGACTTGAGTCGATAGTGTCATAACCAGCCTAATGATAGGAAGACATCCAGATGTCTGCTTATATAGTAAATCCTTGAACATGCAATACCCATCATATCAATTTGTCATCTTGTGCATACCTGTACATATCGTTGTGTTGGAGCAATTGCACCATAGTTTATTACAACAAATGAGAGATGTCCATTTGAAATCAAAACCACTTGGAAAGATGTTTCCTTAAAAAAAAGACAGAAAAAGTCTGAATATTTTTAAAGGAAGAAAGAAAACATTATGTGGTGTGCTGATTTTTATTTATTTATTTGTTTGTTTATTTATTTTTAAATAGGTAGAGGAATATTTCCATGGAGCAAACTTGGCTACTTACAATTCCTGAATTGTAGTAATATGCAACTCTATCCCACGTTGCAACAAAGACCCATGAAGCAGAGAAACTCAAGTCAGGGAAGTATTGGTTTATGTCTTGGGTTGCCTGTGTAAGGACACTGCCAGAGGTGTACTGTTGATATGAGATGACACCATTCCAACGATTGTCAATATCTGTCCAGAATGGAGCAATGAGGTCTTTCCCTCCATAGGCTGGGAACTGGTATGGAGAGTAGCTGTACCATGCCCCATCAAAGGTCAAGTGTCCATTGTTGTTGACCTGAAATAGAAGAGAACTTATTATTATGTGCAGATTAGAATTCTTATAAAAGACACAAAATTGTTTGTCACAGAAATTTAAACTGCACTCAACAGTCCTTTTTCCCATTTACTTTATTTTTTTTATCTCCAGTTACAGACACTCAGCATCCAAAATCCTCCCATTCCAAAGTGACTTACATAAATTTGGTTGTATGTTTGTCCAAAAAATATGAACGGCTGCTGCAGGTATATAACTGATGAACTCCCATCATCAATGCGTCCATTCACTGTGTCTCCAGTTCCAAATGGATAAAATGGCCCTGTAATATTGATGTCATTGTCTGAGAGAGGAAAAAAAGAACAATGTTGAACATTAATTAGCAAAAACATACATATCAGTTTCTCATACCCTGACATTTAAATTTTATTTATATTTCAATTTTCATTTTCCATACTGTAATATTTGTATTCTTTGCATAATGAAATAAATATGATACAGCAATATGGCTGTATATCATCATGGCTGTGATTACCTGTGGACTCTTGCCTACTTTAATATAGCTGATAATATATTAGCCTATATAACTTTATATAACTTTATTTTAAATATAATTATTTTAAATTATTTACATGCATCACAAACATGCATCTATGCAAAACAATATAATCCTTCACATGTAACACACTGCAATATATTACCAGTCATAATGTTCATGGTTGTAGTTTCTATAGTTGTGGTTGTCTCTGGTATGACAGTAGTAGAGGTAGTGTTTATGTTGCTTGCATCTGAAAGAAATTATAAATATATATACAAAAAAAAAAAAATCAGAATTATCTCTTACATAAACAGAGAGCACATGTCAATATATTTACCTGCACAGTATGCCAAATCGCAGGTAGTTGGACTCACAAACTCATAGACATAATACCCTCCTGGACAGGCTTTGACTTTAATGGCATTGGATTGGAAATAGCAGCAGTTATTGTTCCAGTGACCGCAGACATCTCGAGTGACCACTCCATCCTCAACTGTTGGATGTCCTCCGTTCAGCCACAGTGGAGCATCAGTGCCACAACTATACTGATCAACACATGTGTCTGGCATCTGAACGCTCTGACCCTGAATGAAGAGACGGTACCAGCCATTCCAGCTGACCCAAGAGTCACACATTATTTGAGAGGAATGTTGATTGTTGGTGGCTCTCCATAGATCATCCAGTACATTGTAGTTGTAGCAGGGGTCAACAGGGGGAGCTGTTGATATGGAAACATTAAAAACATAAATGTTCCTGACTGAATTAATGATATAAACTTTTTTGTACAACTGAAGTAGCGGTATGACATCTTCATGCTCTTTCCTTAAGCCCCCTGTTACACTTGTGCTTTAAGTTATTCAAAGCTGAAGATAGTTTCTCTTGAGTTTGAACATCTTTTATTTAGCTGTGAAAAAAACAGGATTTAAGATGTCAGCCATGAGCCCTTTCACAATTGAGCAACATGACTTTGAGAAGAACAATTTGAAAACACACATCACCTCTTATTTGCAGTAAGGGATTTGTGTGTGATGGTCTGCATATAGATTTGTGCATTTGTGCCAAATCAGCTATGACAATAAACTCTATTCAATTCTGTCAATAAATAAACTTGAAATGCTATCAATTTTCCCTCTGACTTTTATCTTTTATCCATGAGTATACCTGCTATTAAGTTATTTCCTGCCTCTGATGGTTGGAGTCTGCAAACAGTTATGAAAGGAGTCTAAAGAAGTCTGAGAAACAGTGGTGGTATAATTTTCATTATGAATAAAACAACACTTTGGTTCAGTACTTTACTCTGATTAACCATCAGTGAAAGTCTATATATATATATATATATATATATATATGTATATATATATAGAGAGAGAGTCTTTAGACAACTGTTGTCATTTCCTTCTTATTTATATTGCATTCTCATTTTGTGAGCTGCATTACTAATAATTTTTATGTGAGTTTTACTCATATTAAGTTAATTTAGATGTACATTTGTGTTTAATGCAACAGAAACAGAACAATTTTAAGAGACTGTGTGTAATGTAAATATGTGCAAAAAGTTAGTCATGAAGGTTTATAAATGAAACAAGACAATACTTTACCAGTGGTTGTGATTGGTGGAGTAATGGATTCTATGGGTGGAATTCTCTCTGTTGTTGTAGACACTGATGGGATGGACTGGTTTGAGGCTTCTGGTATTAAGAACATTTTTTTTTAATCTCAGTAAATAATTTGTAAACAAAACCCAGAAAAGTAAATTAATAAATTACATTTAAATACTAATAGTACATACTCACCTACACAGTAAGCTCCACAAACCATTGGCTTGACAATCTCATAAACATAGTAATCTCCAGGACAGGCTTTGACTCTTATAGGGTGGGATGTGTAAGTACAGCAGCCACCCCATGGGAGACAGACCTGACGGGTGACCACTCCATCTTCCAGCTGTGGATGAGTGTCGTTGAGTGATAGTGGGTAATAAGTGCCACACATGCCATAATTAACACATGATTCTGTCATCTGAGCATTTTGACCATTGTAGAACAGCCTGTACCAGCCATTCCACTCCACATTATAATCACACATGCCATAGTAGTAATTGTAATTATAGTAAGAGTAATCAGTGGCTCTCCAAGGTTCATCCAGACTGGTGTAGCTGTAGCAGGGGTCGACACTTGAAGTGGTGAAAGGTACTATTATGAAAAAGTAGAAAGAGAGCATCACATACATAAAGATAATAATATGAAAACCAACAGTACAATTGATGAAAGCATGCCAGATATAATGATGAATAAATGTGCAATACCTGCACAATATACAGGAGCTGGGATCGAAAGAGTTGGTCTGGTAAATTTGTAGACATAATAATTTCCAGGACAAGCTTTGACTTGGATTGGTTCAGATCTGTAGCGACTACACTGATAATCGCGAGAGCCAAAAACTTCACGAGTAACAACTCCATCTTCTAGTTGAGGATGAGAGCCACCAAGCCACAGAGAACTAACGCTTCCACATGACAGGTAATAAAAGCACCACTCAGGCATCTGAGCACTCGACTCATTAATGAAGAGTCGATACCAGCCATCCCATTCTACACGAGTGTCATCATGATCAGAGATGTATCCATACATGGACCAGTAATTGAGTGTGCTTCTCCAGTAGTTGTTGAGTACATTGTAGTTTTCACATGGGTCATAATCTGTGTTAGTGAGATATCAAAACAAACAAGTTATATTTCACTGAAGAAATTCATAAGTGCAAATCTGTACCAGTAAAACACAGTAACAATCAAGAGATTGTTAAATCATTCACAACACAACTGTGTGATAGTGAAGGGGTAACACTTTATAATAACGTTCAGTTGTAAGTCATTTATAATTGATTAGTTAATGATGAACTAATCATTTACAAAACATTCATAAGCAATTAATAAGTGATATGCTAACAATTTGTGTATGTTTTGTTAATTAATTTACAAGTAATTTACAAGTGATTAATTAATAATTAACTAATCATTTACGAAACATGACTATGCATTCATAAATGATTAATAAGTGATATGTTAATATTTTTATCTATGTTTTGTAGATTAAGTTATAAATAATTTAAAAGTGATTAGATGATAATTAACTAATCATTTACAAAACATGACTATATATTCAAAAATGATTATTAAGTAATATGCTAACAATTTACAAATCTCGTAAGTTATCTTCAAAAATAGCATCATGAAATAATCAAACAGATCCTTAGTAAAAGGTTAATAGACTGAAAAAAATTATACTAATTTTTTTTTTAAGGTAAGTGGTTGAAAACAATATATGTTAGCTACATTTAAATAAACAAAATGTTGAAAGTTAGTCAAATAAATTTGTTTATTTAAATTTAGCTAAAATAAATTGATTGCAACCACTTTTCGTAAAAAAAATAAATTCAATGAATCATATTTTTTTGTATAGTTACTAGTTAAGTTACTAGTATTTTATTACCATTTTTTAAACTATAGCGAATAAACTGTGATAATGTGAGAAATGTTGAAGGTGTCTGAATACATTTTGGTTTGACTGTATCTATTTGATAAATGAAGTTAACCAACTAACATTATACATACTCTTTTGGTTTCTGTACCCAATATTTAAAAAATTTACAAATGCAATAAAATATTGGTATCGGTACTCGGTATCGGCAAGTACCAAAAATAAAAGTATCGGTATCGGGCGAGTACTGGAAAAAGTGGCATCCCTAGTAATTATACTATTATATAGTATTATAGTGCCACTCGTTTGCATTTGTACAGGAATATTTATTTTCTAGAAGTACTGAAGCACTGAGGCTTTGAATAAAATCTGAAAATGTAAATGTTTATTGACACCATAAAGTGAAAATGATTAATAAATTGAACACTTGCTCTGGTATGTAATCAAAGTTGTATGCATGCAGTATGTAACAATGTACAATTTCCTTAAAAATGTGATAATAGTTGTCATGTCTACTATCATCTCTCTCTTTCTCATTGGTTTTCAGGTCCTGCTGTTTCTGCTCTGTCCAGCAGGTGAAGTCTGGTCTTACTGTTCTGCTGTCTATCATGGATCATCCCACCTGTTACTCCACCCATTTCACCTGCTCATCATCTCATTATCTACATGCATATTTACCTGCTTTCTTCAGTATCGCTCAGCCACAGCTTTCCAACCTTATTAGTTTGTTCGTTCTTTTATGTGATTTCTTGTCTGATTTTGACTTCAAGGCATTTCTATAAACATCTTTAGCAAACCTGACATTTGAGTCTGCATCTGAGTCCACTCTAAGTCTTCCTGATACATAGTACTTTAATACAGTGAAATACAGACATAAATCAACAATTTAGAAGAATCTTTACCCCTTTGCAAAAACGTTTTTCTTTTCATTTGAATGGAAGACCATTCCATATATATTAATATATACTGTATAAATTGTCGGTTACTACAGAATCTCATAGTTGTGAGATGTAAAGTTGGAATTATGAGAAATAAGGTCACAGTTGAGAGAAATAAAATTGTATAATGAGCCAAACCTGACTTTTCAAGTTGAAGATTTTTTTTTTTCTGTTGTCTAAAACACATTTTATAGTCAAAACAAAAATAATAATAAAATATTTTTTCCTATAAGTGATTCTTAAAATATAGCCCATTTTGTCCCAAAAAGCATGACCGTTTGGATGGTTATGTAAATATATATGATTATCATTGTAATTATGGCAACTGTTAATCATTGGTGATCTGCTGAACCTACATGCATCATAAAATGGACTGACCACAGAATTAGCCAGTTTGGAATGCATGTCACAATTGACAAAAAATCCAAACCATTTGTGTTTGGTCTATTTAACACAAAATTACGAAAATAATGAACGTTTTTCTAAGTGTAAGAAAAAAAAAAACTTTACCAAATTTATTTTGGAGTCTGATATAAATAACAATAGAAATGTTAAAATATGAGATTTCATATCAATAGGAAATCTGGTTCAATTTTTCCTTTTATACTTCTTTCATTTTTACATTTGTAAAGGAAAGCAAAAGATGGAAAAAGGAAAACATGATTGTACCTGAAGTTTGTCCATTGATTATTTCACCTGTTGAATACACAATATAAACATAATGAATTGATATTAAGGAAAAACTCAGTTCATCTACTAATTATTCTAAAGCACATGACAGATGATAAAACACTCACCATTAATCAGCAGCAGTAGTGACACACACAGTGAGATCAGAAACCTCATTGTGACGAATGGCAACACCTGCACCTGCACACACATATACAACAATACACATATGTTTCTTATATTAATTATTTAGTATTAGAATAGTATATTACTTTATATTTAATTTTTTTAAAAGTCATTTTTACTAAAAGTAATTAACTATTATAATGAAATAACTAAATAAACAAACATAATTTTTCAAAGTAATTCCTTAGTCTTTAGAGCCCAATGTGATGAAATGACAAGAAATAACTACCTGAGATCAAATGCTGCTGCAGAGCAAACTCAGGGAGATTCTCTCTTCAGCAGCCGAATACAGTGATGATGATCTGCAGCTCTCACGATCTCATCAATGCCTTTATTAATACATGTGGGTGGATCATTACTGGAACCAAGAGTAGTTTCTCAACAGTCTTAAACCAGTTTTTCATGTAACATGAAGATATTTGTTATTTGAACTGATTGTTTCCTTGTGTACCCCTGCATTCAGAAACACATTCTTTCACTCTGTGCTTGAATAGATCTAAATGTAGATGGAATGACAGCAAGTCAGTTTGTAATTTTTTTTTTCTTTTTTTCAAAGCTGCTTTACAAAAATAGTACAATAAAATCACCAATGAGTCAGCTAAAGGTGACTGAAAAGATTAACGCTAATTAAATTAATAATGTCATATTTCTGTTTGTAAATAATGTTTAACCATGTTAATGATGTTTAATAATGTTTACATTTTATTAATTAAAAACCACTGGTGGGATGCAGGCAGCGGCCAAGTAAGATGGAGATTTTTAGAGGTGCAAAGTAACAAAATTTTAACACAAAGAGAATACATATGTTTAATGCAACTAACAACTCAAACCTAAACCCAAAAGTTAACTAATGTCTTTAAAAGCAGCTGGGAAACAACATGCTAGTTAAGTAGCAGGTTAACATTAGGAAAATGAATGGGTATTTAATATTTGGATAAAGAAAAAAAGGGAAAAACAAAGCGAAGAAGCAATACATATCCATGAAAGCTGATTTATAAAGACAGCATAAAATAAACAGAATTAGGCAAAACAGGCAAATGTTGGTACTTCCCCAAAGCGAAGAAAAACAAATCAATCAATAATTTCATTTAAAGTAAAATCAAGTCTGAAGAATAAAGTCTGCTCTTGGAGAATTGAAGGAAGTGAACACTATATTCACAGGTTTACCAGAGGTGCAGAATTACACTCTTTAGGAATGTTCTACATTCATCCGCTGCACATTTTACCTCATCATTCAAAAACTCACGTCCCAAAAACCATGTGATGCACATTAATGTAGCCTGACAGTAATGTCTCCTCAGAAAATGTACAGACTAATACAATGAATTAAAAAAAATAATGATGTTATATTAAATTAACAGTGTGCCACTGTTAATTTAACTTTCTAATCTAACATGTTTTCAAATGTGCGATGCTTGTCAGGAGTTTTTGGCAGCTGTAAGGTTCAATTTGTTTTCAATTTTTTTAACAAACAAAATCAACAATATTTTTTCAGCATTTATGAACATACTTTTACTGTTGTTATTATTACCTTCACGATACACTAATACATTTTGAACAAATTAAGTAAATTAGCATTGCTTAATTTCTTGTGAAGCAGTGTAATATAATACATATTATTTATTAAAAGCAGTAAAATTAATGTTCATTAGTTATTGCATTAAGTATCATGAATTACCAATATTAACGAAATGAAACATGCAAGCGTGCAGCATTGAAAAAATGACAGCTACATTGTACTAAATATGCTGCAGGAACAAACTTGGCACCAATATGAAAAAAGGACAAAAAGATTTTTGTTTCCTCATTTCTTTAGTCAAACTGGATAGTTTATTGTCATTCTTATACATTGTAGGACTTTTAGAAAACCACCAGACAATGACGCTGCAATGTCTCTTTATCAAGTCACTGAACTTCAGCTGTCAATCACTGAAAGAGGATTTTTTTTTTCCAGTAATTGTTGCAACAAGTTGATCAAGATTCCCCAAGAACTACTTGCAGTTCATGACTGTCACCACTGTATTAACAGTGTTTTTATTTTATTCTCCATTATCTTGCTGTGATAAATTCTGGTGATTGCAGTTTCTGCATATTATTAGTGGCCAAAATAATCCCTGAGCCAAATAATCCAATAAAAAAATCATGAAAAAATAAATACTCACATAAAAAAAACCCCGGAAAATTATTAGAAGCTGATCATAGCTGTTGGTTTTCACTGAAGCACAAATCTCATAGAGATGCTATAGAGACACACACTACAGAGGATGCATTTTCACTAAACAAACAAATACTTTATTATTGATCTGAAATTAAGGCAATTTTATCCAAATGTTCGTTATAAGTATGGTGTTGGTAAATGAATGCAAAATGAAATAATTTTTGGCTAAAGTGCATCTGACACATTAACTGGTGTATCATATTACCATCCTTTTCCAAAAACCTACCAACTGAGTATATCGGCTATACTACGCCACACCTGGTCAAAGAATCTCCCGCATAACAAGCAGGTTAATCCTCAGAAACACATCAGCATTAAGACAAATGCAGTGAAGGATTAAAACCTGAATGTTGCAGAAATGCAGTCAACAATATGTAAATCAAAATATAAACAGATTTTTGCAGCATTCTAATAAAACTATCAGGGATGGATTTACAGGGGCTTTAGTAAGATGTAGGAATATTAAAGAAGAGTGCCAGAGGACTGTTCAGATATGAACTTGAATATTTGTGTCACACTGAATGCACTCTGCCCTAACAACTCCTCAATTTCAGTTTCTCTTCACCTTCTTTAAGAACTAGAACAATAAATAGAAACTTTAAATCTAGCTAGTGACTGAACCTCACCTAATCTTACCTCCATTGAAAGAATAATTCCACCAGTGCTGCAACATTCTTCAAAAGCTTTAGAAAGGAAAGTATAATAGCAAGACTCTTCTCATGCATACTACTATAGAATCACTATGGAAAATAAGAAAAACGATTGCAAACATAGTATCACAAAGATAACATTCTGGTCATTAATCGTTCTCTTATCTTTACTGAGAAAACTCTTACAAAAGGAAAACTAATTTTGCTTTAATCATCAAATGTATTTATTTTTTCTTCTCATTTATATTTTGAGTTATCCAGACTGCATGATCATGTCCCTATTGTTTATGTCCCATTATAAATGGCAGAATACAATTTTAAACAATTTTTAAGGAAAGAAATCAAAATATTATACTATCACAATATTACATATTTCAGTTTTGGTACTTTTGACAAGTATTTTCTTGAACTACTTAGTTACAGAATTTGAAAAGGAACTGCAGAAAAGAAATGGCTCTATAAAATGTTTTTGCATGATTTCAATAAACACAAATCTGATTGTATTTGTTAACAGCACATCCTCTCAAGTAAAATAGAATGAATATAGTTTATAATAACTAATGTAAAGGAGTAAATAATTATTTTATTATGCCAGAAACCCACAATGAGTGTAGCATCAGTTCCAGATTAAAGGTGCACTAAACGATTTTTGAAAAACGCTTTTGACCACAGTGTCGGACCGATTCCCAAAACACACTCGCAGCCAATCAGCAGTAAGGGGCGTGTCTAGTAATGATAGGGAGAAGAGAGTGCTCAGTGAGTGCAAAGGACAGATATTAGCAGATCGACTATAGATAGCGAGAGAGACGGTAGATTAAAAAAAAGAGGAAAATTTCGGAGGAACAAAACATTAAAAAGAAGGGTTACGATCAGGCAAAAGATATGACCCACGTAAATATTGGAGCAGCTTTCCAGCGGTGGAGAATCGTTTGGCAAAATTCGCTTAGTGCACCTTTAATATGACACTAGACAATATACATGCAAAATGTTGAACATTTTTGTGGAAATAAACTAAAACAGGGTCAGGAAACTCATCAGAGGAACAAGTAACAGCATCAGAGAACCACACAGACGAGAAGCCTCAGATGCCTTCACTTGCTCTGGGACCCACTTATCTGTGAACAGGGAATATAATGCAATGAAGTGTATTAATGTAAGAAATCATTATAAACCTTAATTTACAAATAATTAAAATAAATGAAATGTTCACCTGTGTTCCCTTCAGACAACATCAGAGGACCCATGGATATGGAAGCACTGTTATGGAAGTCCAGAGACCTGTGCTCTCTCCAGTGGTGTTCAGAGTTACAGTCCTTAAAGAGAGAAAAACAAAACAAAAAAACACAGAAAACATGAAAGAGTAGCGCACAAAGTGTCCAGCAGAGGGCGGCCAAAATAAGTAGCTTAGCAACTCTTTAACCTCACCACCATAGACATTATATTTAGATATTTAGTGTTTGATCAACTTTTAAACTCACCGTTGAGCAGCGATTGCTTGACAGAAGGCACAGGTGAACAGAGCAGTGCAGGTAAAGCTTAGTGGAGTTTGCAGTGAAGATAAACATCCTGAAGGAGAAACGGCTGGATGTCGAGATGCCGTTCTGCAGCAGCTCCACTGTGTCGTCATTTGAATTGGGACACCTGAGAATAGCAATTATAACAATTAACAAATCAAATTATTTTGTGAAAGACATTCAATTAAAAAGGGTAATCCTGTAAATCTTCAAGCATTTGATTTCTTCAAAACATGGGATCTTGTGCTTTAGTTCTGAAGTACTGAAAAATACAAATCTGAGACAATGCTAAAAGTTATATGGATTATTATTTATTCAATCTATCAAAAGTTGTGTTTTAAACATGTTACAGTTACATTTAAGACTGAGCTTTAAGAAATAGAAACAGCTTTACTCTGTGATGATGAGATCCCAGCGGAGACTGTAATCAGGATCATTCACAGGTGTAGCCCAACACTTGTCCATAACCGAGGCAAACTGGCGGCTGTCAACCCCCTCGACACGAACTTCCACATTCATCTTCTGGTCGAGCTCTGCATCCACTTTACCAGTGAAGGGCCGAGTAAACTCATCATCCTCATATGGAATCATCCGAACCTGATATCTGCCTTCACCAGCGGGAAGAGTCCTGTGCACAATGCTGTTGAAATAATGGACAGATCAGTTTTAAAATTACTATGTTTTAAGAGTAAAACATATATTCTTGGTTTAAAAAATATTACCATATTAACTTTTTTATACATTTATTTTTCTGCTTAAAATATTTGTTCACAAAAACTTTCATCATAATTCACAGAAAATGTTGACACCCGCAATATTCTGTTTGGCATGTTCATGAGAGCTCAATAGAAAAGCAATTTCTAAGCAAGAAAAGTGATGTCCTAATTGGAAGCAATTTGTTCATCTGATCTTTTTCTCAGAATTATTCATTCATATAGACCACTTTTATAATGCATTTGTGGTGCTTTCTTACAAGTCCTCATGATCATTAACTGCATTTAAAAGTTGGACCAGTAAAATTCCACAGAACAAATAAAGACATGAGAGTTAGAACAACATGAGAAAAAAATCCATTTTGGTGAACTACTCCTTTAAAAAAACAGTACCGCTAAATTCAGAATTTGTATTTGACTCGCACCTCTCCAGTGGGTTGTTTTCCACCTTCATGGAAAGTGTTTGTGTTTGAGGATAAACACAGCTGAAAGGAAGCTTAAGGATTTTCTCTCTGCTGATGAGATCTTCTGACCTCGGTGTCCCCAGAATACAGTTACTGTAGATGAAGTGGGTGCCGTTGGCCTGTGAGCAACATATATATATATATATATTTTATTTATTTATTTATTTTTTTTGTAATTTAGCTCCAATTGAATTTGTATTTCAAATAACTTTATGAAAGCAACATTAGAAAAACACAAAAAGCAGTCAAGTGAAATAATGGTGGGTTACATATTAATGGTGGAGAATGCAGGCACAAGTCAAATCTAACTCTACTAGTTCTATGATGCACTACAAATATTTGGGATGCTATTTGAATTGATTATACATAGTTAGTCCTACCAGAAGATTTGTACCACAGATATGTTCATCGTTATCAAAATGGAATTCCACTCTGCCATTCTGGACCGTTCCTTTGTTTCAAACAGGGTAGTCAAGTTTACTGTCATTTTTATACATTATAGGACTTTCAGAAAACCACCAGATTGGATTCTAGACAAATGCTGCTAAGTTTCTAAATCAAGTTGTCAAAGTACAGCTGTCAGCCACATAAAGTGGATTTTTTTTTTCAGCAATTGCTGCAGCCAGCTGATCTCAGGTTTTTCTCAGATCTCAGTTTTATAATTCTTTTTGTTTGTTTTTTAAGTCAACATTAGAAATTGCAACAGCAAAATTGTCTAAATCAAACTAACTTCCATAACACGTATGAGAAGACAATTGTTTGTTTTTTTCATTCCTTTAGGATTTGTTGTTTTTGTTGAGATGATATGCTTTTCTTTATCATACATGTATTTAGCATCCTACCATAAATGTGTTCATCGTTATCAAAATGGAATTCCACTCTGCCATTCCGGACCGTTCCTTTGCAGCTGGGATCATTGAGGTGTAAGACGTCAGCTGGAAAACCAGTCTCAAAGAGCTGACAGCGAGACACAGACATGGAGCCAGAGCTGCTTTCACAGGTTTCTGAGAAGTCTGAGAGAAAAAAGCCAAGGTAATTAATGACTTGAAAACACTATTTTTTTTTTTTCACATTTAGTTGTGGACTGATACCAACCAAAAGAGTCATGATGTTGTTGTTGTCTGTGATGGTCCTTTTCACACAAACAGCCATAAACACCATTTTTCATCCCGCACCTTTCATCATCAGAGCAGTTGAGTTCAGAACAGGGATTTCTATTAACCAGGAGAATAAGTTGTTTTGTAAAATAGCATCTAGTAAATGCAAAAATATAAATGTAAACATAAGCACTGCTTAGTAACCCACAAGTCATAATCAACCAATTCTCAGCTTTACATATTACCCCACCAACAGAATGAAATGTTATTATAACTGAGTGTTGCAGAGACAAGCTGTTACATTTCCATATATCCTTATACTAAACATTCTGGACCCTTGACTGATTATTGCTCTTGGTCTCAATTTAAGATGTTTTCTAGGGAATTAAATGAATCTTTTTAGCATTTATAATCAGTTACCCCTTGATTATAAAACGGCCCACTGTAATATTAGTCCAGGTGATTGGCATAGTGGATATTTAGATTTAAAGAACTAAAAAAAAATCACACTTGCACCCTGTGCACGCTACGTTAAGTGTAACTACTAACATTTCTTTAGTAATTTGTTAAAAGGTTTTATCAAACACAAACAGTGCCTCTTGTTTTCAAAGTAGTAATAGAACCTTGGACACATCACTCTAACTTTCAACAGCAAATCCTGACTTGAGTACACATGGTGATCTGTTTTAAATTATTTTAAAAGTGTCATAACACATAACATGGATCTGATTTGCTCACATAAAACAATAATCCTCCAGATTGTTATACAATGTGTTTTTTTTTTTAAATTGTAGGTTGGGAAACCTACAATTTTTACAACACATTGTATTACCAGGCATTGTAGTTTCAGCTGTAGTTTCTGTGGTTGTGGTTGTCTCTGGCATTACAGTAGTAGAGGTAGTGTTTATGTTCCTTGCATCTGAAAAAAAGAATATTACATGAAAACAATAATCTCTTACAAAAACAGAGAGCACATGTCAATATATTTACCTGCACAGTATGCCAAATGGCAGGCACTTGGGCTCACAAACTCATAGACATAGTACCCTCCTGGACAGGCTTTGACTTTAATGGGATTGGATTGGAAATAGCAGCAGTTATTGCTCCAGTGACCGCAGACATCTCGAGTGACCACTCCATCCTCAACTGTTGGATGTCCTCTCTTCAGCCACAGTGGAGCATGAGTGCCACAACTATACTCTTCAACACATGTGTCTGGCATCTGAACGCTCTGACCCTGAATGAAGAGATGGTACCAGCCATTCCAGCTGACCCAAGTGTCACACAATATTTGAGAGGAATGTTGATTTTTGGTGGATCTCCATAGATCATCCAGGACATTGTAGTTGTAGCAGGGGTCAACAGAGGGAGCTGTTGTTAAGAAATATTAGAAAAAAAAATATTGCTGACTGAATGACACACATATTTACAGTATATGAGAATTTTAACATGTTTCTCTCAGAGAGACGATTGAGGACTCTGATGTGTAAATCAAATCGCTACAAAAATTATTTCGTTCCAACTGCGGTTAAAATATTCAATAGAGAATTGCAAAAATGAAATGTTATATTGGTATACTGTAGCTTTTAATTTTTTTTGGTTATGCGTAACTCATTGTATGACATGTACTGTGCTATGCGAGTTTAATGTTTAATGTCCACGACGAATTTCCCTGAAACAGGACAATAAAGTATATTCATTTATTCATTAATTCAGTCATACAACTGAAGTAACGGTGTGAAATCTCCAGAAAACTCTTAAGCTCCCTGTTACACTTGTGCTTTAAGTTATTCAAAGCTGAAGATAGTTTGTCTTGAGTTTGAACAGCTCCTTTTATTTAGCTGTGAAAAAAACAGGAAACCTGTTAACCCGCACCTGGACGCCGGCGCACTGAACGCTCTTTGAACGTGTCAATGTTTACGAATAGATTAAATGAAACGGGACAAAATTAATCTTTACAAACTAAATATCATTATAAAGGTCTAAGCCTCAAGCATCGACGACAGACAGAGCTGTTTTTCAATGGAACGCTTATAAGGAATGTATTTGCTAAATTTGTGTAAGCAGTACACATCCTCTCAATGAAAAGATCCTCTCAGAAAGAGAGCATAATCAAAACGCAGTACATACCAGATTCGTCGTAATAACGAGTCATAAACACACCCACAGCTGTAAATCCCGGTTTAGTTAGAAAGTTAAGGGTCCACTGAACGACATCCCAAAGAGCACTTTTAGTCCAACGAAGCAATAACGTTGTAATATGGATGGTAATTCCTTTGTTTACGTCTCGTTTCTTCGGGGACAGTATTGTTTGTATCCATTATGGAATAACTTACGCTCAAAAAACTGCGTCTTGGTAGTAAAAAACGGCATGGTTTTGTAGCATACAGTGTCACAAACAGTCTCAGAAAAACGATTGCATGATTCTAATTTTTCATGGTATCTTCTTCAGATTTGAAATGGAAACTCAGGAGACATGTGACTTTCAACCCATTACTTTTCTGGATTGCTCCAGGACTGATTTAATGTATTTTTATATGAAGAAAAAAAAGATTCAGTGTGGTACAATTTTTTTAAGGCACTTCAGTGTCTATAACTTTTTATCTTTTTGAGCGTTATCAACTCTGAATGATGGATAGTAAAGCCCAAAGGGTCTTCTTTCCAAAGACACCAACATTGTGTGTGTAGCACACTGAAGTCAGGAACTGTTGCAATTTTAAGTTAGGTAAGTCATCTGTTCCTGCATGATGGGCCAAAGTATTGGCCCCAAAAAGTGCGTCGGCCCACCGGGAAAATGCACTACATGTCAGATGGCCAGTCCGCCCTTGGTTTCACATCATTAAATGATGTGCGTCAAATGAGTCGCTGTAGAAATCAAATACTTTAATGGTTGCGGACGAAATAACTCAACACCATGAGCCAATGCAAACGCAATGACATGTGAAATAAAACATCATCATGTTTTACAGAAGAGTGGCTTGATTAAGTGGTGGAAATAGCGGATGATGAGCA